TTTTATTTTTTAGTTTGATACAGGATTTTCCTAAGTTGCTGAGGCTAGCCTTGAACTTTTGGTACTCCTGTCTCAGCCTCCCCAATTGCTGGGATTACAGGTGTGGTCATTGGGCTCAACTTCCAATAGCTTTACAATAACCCTCTCCTCAAACCCTCCCCGCTGTTAGCACCCTTTGAAGGTGAAGAAAGTTTAGGTTGGGGGGGAGGTGAAACAGATGTAAACCTAATTTGGTTAGACTCCAACTCCCATTTTGCAGTATTGAGCTACAGCTCGACAAACACAACCGGGACAGAGGGCGGCTGGCTTAGGACAGCCCTTCCCCACCCGCCCCCTCCTGGAAGGCTCTTCCAGCAGCTTTTACACAACGCAGCGATCACAGGCCAACTGTGCTGAATTTTACTGTGGATATTTAGACACACCCCCTCCCCAGAGAGCAGTCCCCTGGTCTACACAAGGAAAACCAGAGGAGTAGGGTGACTTGCTGGGACACACATGGAATTGAGAAGCAGGGTTGGAGGGGGCAGAACCCTGTTTTCCAGATTCCCAGTCTGTGGAATCACCAACCACATTTTCAAGAACTTTCCAGAAGGAAGTGAACTAGAAAAGCGTGTCCTCCCCCTTTCCCATCCCTCATCCCCGGCCACCTTCTGGTCTTCTGGAGGAACTGCCACAACAGATTTCCCATGGCCTCGCCCTCCAAGGTGTCCCCAGCCTGGTCAGTCCCCACGTGACCCTTCCGGAGAGGGTCACCAGTCGGCCAGCCGTGTCAACCCAGACGCGGCCGCCCAGGCCAGGGAGCTAGGAGCCCCGCCCCCAGGCCCAGAAGGACCGGCGGGCGGCAGGTCAGATCAGATTAGCGGATGTGGATTGCGCCCCGGCCCGGGGAAGCGCTGTCTGGCCCCCCGCAGGCGGAGGGTCTGGCCCCCGCAGGCGGAGGGAGGCGCGGGCCGGGGAGGCTGCCCAGGTGTCGGGATGTGGATTGCGCCGGGGAAGAGGTCCTAGGTCAGGGCTCCCCCTCCTCGGCACCCAACTGCCCGCTGCGCTCGGTGCCCAGACGCACTGCCTGGTCCTGGCAAAGATGTTCCTGGGTCACTGGGCACACCCGCACGCAAATTTAGGCCGGGAGTCCTGGGTCACCCGGGAAACTTGACGTCTCCCCGACCCGGGTTTAAGGCTGCCTTAATTCTCGGCTTCGTGACACTCCATCCCTAATCTTGGACCTGCGAGCCCTAATCCCTGATGCCACACCTCAGCCTGGAACACTCCCGCCGCCGCCAGACTCCGGGACCCATTCACCCTCATTCGCAAAAAGAAAAAGGAGATTCGACAGGACAAAAATAATTACAGCAATCATGGCCCTTTGTTATTACTGTGCCCAGTTCTGTGTTGTTTGATGTGATTGTCACCGATCCCTTTCCACGGTCTTACAAAGAAGGCACTATTCTACCTTTTTTACAGATGCGTAAACTGAGGCTCCCAGGTACCTAACTTCGAACACCGCGGCGGTGAGAAGCTGCGCGATCTGGCTCCCACCCTCCAGCACTGCTCTCTGCGCACCCCAAATCTGGACCTGGATGGCAGTGGTCCCTGTCGGGGTCATACCGGAACGCTGGAATCCCCTCCCACTAGTCCGTGCCACCAGCCGTGCCGATACAGAAAAACATGCACAACCAGACCCTGGACGCGCCTTTCGAGCCCTGGGCTCGGACCACCCGGTCCCAGGCACCCCTCCGCAGTCCCAGCGCATTTCCGGAGCCCGCAGGCGAGTGGCTACCCCAGGCGCCCTGGGCGCAGCCTACCTTGTGCCTGCAGACTGCGGATGATGTCCGCCCGGGGCAGCGGGTCGCGGTAGAGGCTCAGCATGTAAGCGAGAGGGGACGGCGACGAGGGTTGCCCCAGTGTCCGTAGGGGTACCTGGGCCACCGTGGCGGGGCCTGCCTGCAGCAGCACCCACCAGGCGTGCAGGAGGAAGAACTGGAGGCGGTGGGCGTACATGACSGGCTGGCTGGACCTGAAAGCAGCGCCCCCGCCCCTTATATCCTGGGCCTGCACAGCCGCCCCGCCCCCGCCATTCCTCCCACCAGGGAAGCTTTAAGAACCTATAACCCCCCTGGAGGGGGAGGGTGGACCTCGACTGGGGGCTGGAGAGATCTGAACCTGGGACGGCGGCCTGCAAAAGCCGCGGAGGCCTTAGATCCAAACACCAGGTCTGGGCGCCCGGGCACCCTGCTTCTCAGTAAGAGTCCCTGTGGCTGAGACAGCAGGCCCCCAGTTCAGAATTGAGGCTCTCTTCCTCCGCCTCACCTGGGCTCCCTGCCCCGTCCTCTCCTGAGCAGGTAGGGGATGTGGAGTGCCTGCAGATCTCAGCGCTCAGGCGGTGGCTCCACACACCGGGATGCTGTGACCCAGCCTAGCTGGGTGCGGCCTTCTGGGCACTGTGCACGTGAACTCGGGGAGCTCCCCTGGCTTTCTGTGGCAGGGCCTGTCTGGGGAGCCAGCCTACGGGAAAACGATTGGGTACTGGATACTTACAGCCACAGAGGTGAGGGCCAGAGGAAGGGCCTGGGGACAAATGCCAGCTTCAAATACGGAAGTGCTCTCCTGGGGAAGGGAGGGCAGGAAGGGCCAGGATGAAGCCTTTTCTATCTGAAGCTGGAACCTGGGGTGTAGCTGATTGGGGGTAACAGCAGTCTCTTCCCTTCCCCCCCCCCCCCCCACGAACAGGTATCACTTCAGGAAAAAAGGTGTTACCATGTCCTGCAGTCCCTGCCCAGTGGTGGCAAGGCCACAGGAGACCTCAAGCCCCCTCCCTTCCATCTCCCTGGACCCTGCTTACCTCACCTACACTGGAGTGAGCCTTGCCTGGGCTCCCTCCCAAAGGAAGGGCAGGACTGGAATCACCTTTAAAGAAATGTAAATTCCTGCGGGCCAGTCTGTTTTCCTCCTACTGCAGGGCTTTCTTCTCTGCTGCTCCACACCCTGCTCCTCCTTTTCATTGAAAGCTGACCTTGTGCAAGACTCAGCACCAGGTGTCCACATACCGGCTGCTGTTTCACAGGATGCCTCCAGCCGAAAACAAAGAACAACAGATCAGACCTGAGCAAGGGTTAGAAAATGGGAAGAGGCTCAGCAGGTTCACCCGGGGGGTTCCAAGGCTGGGTTCTCCTGAGGGGCTGACCCACCCAGCTGGACAGGGCCCTGCTCCGGAATCAGAGGCCTGAGGTTCCAACCCTAGTCTGTGGTCAGTCTGCACACCAACCATCTGTGGGTTCCTCAAAGCTGGGACTGCCCCATTCATCTCGTTCTCCTGATATATATGAAATCAGGACCCAAAAAACCTGTGTGAAGTAAATCCATAAGTTTCACTGTGTCCGGACTTGCCAGAGGATAAGTATCTCCTGAAATGTTTGTTACACTAACGATTACTGAATCCCATCCAATATTCAGAATTAGAATTTGGAGTGAGGGAGTGGCAATTTACATATTTAGCAAGCACCCCAGTGATTCTTAGCTTCTCTGGGAACCTGGGTGGGCTAGGGTTCTACTTGCAGTTTGTAACTCCCCTTTCTAAATTCAGTTGTCTTCTGTAAAACAGCTGGAGATACCACCTCCCATGCAGATTAAAGGAAATGAATGTAAAAATACTTTGCAAGCTCTGAAAGCCGATATAATTATAAAGGATTATATATTTGGGGATGATTAAGGGTGTCCTTGGTTGTCCAATATCCCTAATCTGGGTGCTCACTAGGAATTTGGAGACCTGGCCCTCTGAATCAGACCCCTCCCCAGAGGTAGAGATTACCTTCAGCATATGCACATATAAATCAGAAACAGACTGTGGTTAGTCCTGTGGGGTCCTTTAGCCCAGACAGGGACAGCAAAAATGGCACCCCAGGAGGGGTTCCAACAGGAGACAGAGTCAGTTCCGCAACCCAGGGCTCCCAGATCACTGTCTGTCCTAGAACCCGGCAACCCCGCTATAAACAGGGCAGATCCACCCAGGGCAGCCTTGTCCACTGGAGAAGAGACCAAAGAAATGAAGCTTCTCCTTTCCATCCTGATAGAAGCTTCCTGAAATTAAGGATAAAGGTTTTTGCATCCCTTTGTGTCCCTTGAACAAGGTGGCACATAGTTTGGTGCTCCATAGTTGAGTTAAAATTACAGAATTTATCCTTGTTTCCACTTCAGAGATGAGAAAGCAGAAGTTCAGAAGGAACAAGGTAAATTACTCAAGAACACAAATTTATGAGCAGGAACAGCATGTGAAGGGCAGGACTGCAGGTTGCCCAGCTCCTGTTTCTTCCCCTGTTGCTTCCCCATTAGCTAAATGAGGGGTGAGTAGGTGTCTTCCACCAAGACGGGGTCTTTTGTTTGTTTCTGTTTTTTGCTGCTCTGGGGTTGAAACCCCCGGGCCGTGCACATGCTAGTCAAGTGCTCTACCTGAGCCACCTCCTCATCCTCTAATAAGAGTATTTGATCTCTCAAATCTTGCCTTTCCCAGGGCTGGTCACTGCAGACAGACCTCATTTCTGATGTGTATTGGCTCACAGCCGAGCAGGGGGCCTGGAATTTCTCTGTGACCAGCAAGAGCAACTGGACCGTCTGACAAAGCTCATCCATCTTGAAGCTTCCTTGGGTCTGGCCCTGTGGAGAACCCGCGTCTCTGGTGCCCTTTGAGACAGAGGCTCACAGTCATCCTTCTCAATCTTAAAGGAGGCTAATTATTTGAGGGTCTGTTTCCTGCAAGGAAGAGCCCAAGTGAGTGTCCTTTTCCCAAGTGGGGAGTGGCACCTTCTCACTTCCCTGCCCCAGACAAACTGACCAGTGCATCACCTGACCTGGGAGATAACCTTTGAGCTCATCCCAGCTGGATGAGGATGAGGGCAAAGTCCCTTGCTGTTCTCAAACGCTTTCCATGGGGCTGTTGGGGAACCCCCCCTGACCTGGCATGGCTGCCTGCTTGAACTCAGGTTAGGTCTCCAGGATGTGGGGTCTGGATTCTTCTACCTCACTTCCCACCAGGGTGAGGTCACTTACCATCTTGAAGCTTGTGCTTGCTCAGCTGTAAAATGGAGATCTATAATAACATATCACTCACAGAAATGTCCTAAGTAGGAAACGTGTGTAAAGAACATAATGCGGGTTGCATTTGGTTATTCATTTATTTATTCATTGAACAAATCTGCATATGCAGTGAGTCTACTTGTGTTAACTCAGACCAGATTCTCAGGGAGTCAAGCACACCTATTTAATGAGCCGGGTTGACACCAGCTGCCTTCATGTACAGACAGCCCTCTGTATCCAAGTGTTCTGCATCTGTGGATGTAACCAACCTTGGAGAGAAAATATTTGGAGAAAAACAGTCACATGTGTGCTGAACATGGACAGACTTTGTGTCTTGTCATTGTCCCGGAAACAATATAGTAGAGCAACTGTTTACCCAATCTTTACTTTGTATTAGGTATCGTAAGTAATGTAGAAATGACTTCAAGTGCCTGGGAGGGTGTGCATAGGTCATATGCAAATACTATGTCATTTTGTATGCGACTTGAGCATACATTTTGGTACTCACGGGAGATCCTGACACCAATCCCCCATGGATACTTAGGAATGGCTGTATGTATTACATTCTGGAAGCCATAGAGGAGGAGTTAGATCACAACAGGTTGGAGAGTGGAGGACATTCATCTTGTCACAACCCTCCAGTGTCTACCCCAGCTCCTGGCATGCACCTGGGTAATGAATAAGTGTTTGCCAAGTGATTGAATGAACTTCTAATTCCTGAATGAACTCCTAATTCCTGAATGAACTCCTAATTCCTGAATGAACTCTCTAATTCCCCCACACACTTGCCTTTCACGGGCTCTTCCTGCTGTTTCTACTGTGTCTCCTGCTCATTTAGGACATAGTTTAAAAGTTCCCTCCTCACTGGGTGTGAAGACACATGCATAATCCCAGGGGCTACCAAATCTGAGGCAGAAGGATCGGCAAGTTCAATGCTAGCCTCAGCAATTTAGGGAGGTCCTAAGCAACTTAAGGAGAACCTGTCTCAAAATAAAAAGGGCTGGGGATGTGGCTCAGTGGTTAAGCACCCCTGGGTTCAATCCCTCTACCAAAAAAAAAAGTTCCTTCCTCTACAAACCAGTCCCACCTACCCCACAGCTATTCAGCTATTTAGCAAAGTCCCCTTCAAAGTAAAGCAGCATAGAGCAGTTGTCCAAACTCCCTTTGGCGACAGCCACAGAACAGCAAGCTCCCTAGAAGTCGGGATGGCTCCCCGTTCATTTCTCTCTGAAGCCTCAGCCCTGGGTTCCTAAGCAAACATCACTTGCTGGGACCTGTGGCCCAAGCCAATGAGCAGTCCCCTCAATGGCACCCGCGGCTTGCCTGTGTGTTGAGCGGGTCCATGGAACCCAGCGCCTATACTGGGAGGCATAGTGGTAAGCTGTGAGGACAAGGCAGACGCGTCTTGGCCCAGTGGCCACCAAAAGGACATAAGACTCAGGTCAGCACCTTCCTCTGGTTTCAGGGTCTTTCACTTCCCTCTCCTGAGCAGGGGGGAGGGCGCCGCGTCTTGGCACACTAGTGTCTGCACTTCACATCTGCATGTTGTGGCACCTTCTGTGTGCACGGCTCAGGCGCCTTCTCGCCTCTACCCTCCTGTGACCTGAGCTGGGTGTACCACTAGGGACTGGCCGCAGATGGTCCAGCTCTAAAGGCCAGCCCTGTCTGCCTCAGAAGCTCAGGCTCCTCCAGCTCCATGGCCAGCTGTCCTCCCCAGCCCCTCCTGGGGGAGCCCAGATTGTGCTTCCCACAGGGTCAGGAGGTGAAGCCTCAGCCAGGCCTGGGAACCCCGTGGAATGGGAGGGCTTTGTGAAACAAACAGAGAGACCACCAGGAGAATGCCCTCTCCTCCCACCCCGGAAGCTTCTCAGAGATTCCCACAGCCCAGCCTGCGCCCTCTGCCTCCTGCTCCCCACCTCCCTCCGTCCCTC